GTTGTTTACTTTCCCGGAAATTTGTTAAATACCGTACCTTAACACCTTACGTACCTTAACCGTACGTTTAACTGGTAGACCTATATTTTACGACAAATAAATAAAACTTAGGTCTGCATGAGATCATTACGAGAAAAGTGGGATGGTCCAATGACTGAAAGATCTGAAAATAGAACATTGACTGATGCAACTAATTCTGTTTTAGATGAAAGAAGATTTTACTTACATTAAATTTTACACCTTTGGCTCGGCTAATCCACACATGAAACTTACTAAACCTAATTTATCACCTCACAAATACCGCACATTCACACATTCACTCATAACCCCCTCATTGAGTCACAACAAAATCTCCCGAAATGGATATGGCAACACCTCTTGTTTGACGATTGTGTGTGACGTAGAGGTGCATTTCTTGGCCAATCAGAGAGCTAGGTTACCGTTACTTTAGCAGACCGCAGTTGGTATGGCCTGAGCTCTATGAGACAGACAGGAAAACATAATAGTTGCGCGAGAACAGGATATTTCTGCACAAAAAGTATAATATAGCATCATTGATTATATAAACATTTGACAATGAATAAATGAATTACGCACATATATACGAAAGAATTTTATCAAATTAAACCAGAGGTGAGGTTTATAATTTGACCCATGGTTCTTGTCTTATACCCGAGTGTTTTGTTTCAAATTAGTTTTTTTTTTTACAATTTTAGGAAATATATAAATTATAACAAAACGTTTCGAGTTTGGATTACGCATCCTGAATACGGTGGCATGCCATAGTGCATAATCTCACAGTGCCTAATACAAAGTGTCTAAAAGTGAAAACGTATCATAGTGCATAATCTCATGGTGAAACTGTCTCATAGTGCATCTTGTTCCAATTTGTTTTATAGTGCCTAGTGGGCAAAATTCCTATAGTGCATAACGGAAATTGGAGGTTTCCGCCATAGATTAAACATACTCCCTTAGGAGTATGTTTAAACATTACTCCTTAAGGGATTATGTTTAATCTATGGTTCCGCTTAATAGTGGAACAGCCAAATGACACAAAAGGAACACCAACTATTGAACCTCTAGCTTAAAATACCGTGCAAATTAATTTAAGTATTGACATTTGACAACAAAAATAGCTTATCAAATAGCTTATCTCTATTTCCATAGAGTCTCATAGTGCATAATCATACAGTGCCTAATCGTGAATTTGTCTTACAGTGCCTGATTCTAATTTTGTTCTATAGTGCATAACATGCACTATACTGTGAGATGATGCACTATGACATGCTACCATGTCTCTGACCAAAACACCGAGATGGCGGTTTGACGTAAGCCTCTAATTGGTTTGTTTACAATAAATTATTGCTCAATAATGAGGAAACACAGTGCATAAAATTTTAGCCTATGTGATTCCCAGATTGTTCCATTCCAAGAGGGCAAGAGCCTGTCAAACTCCTTGGTATAAACCCTTAGCCCTGTCTCAATTGGATAGACCAAAGCCAAGTCTGTACTAAACTAAAGTACCGTACTAGTACAGATAGAAGTGTATCTTTTAAGACGTCTGAGGGACCAATTGCCACAAAGTACCCATAGAATGGCTTTCTTTGCATTTTCCAGACTCAACCTAATGTGTACTATGGGGTACTAAACTAGCGGATGAAAATAAAAACTTAGAACACTGTGTGCAAGGCCATAAAAACCAAGTTTAAAATATACTTGGGAATGTCCACTTGGGCTCCACACCTGGGTTTATGCTTAGGAATAACTTCACCAAGTTTGCTTATATAAGAGTTCAAAACAAGTAAAAAAAACAACTTATTTTAAGCTTACGTGCTGAGTGGGCTAATATGTAACTAGCCAGGATAATCTCGCCGATTTTTTACAAAAGAACTGTGTAAAGAAAGGTTCGTGCAATTGCGCAAATAAGATGATATAATGAATAATATAGACTGATGTAACAAATTTGTTGTCGTCAAACCGATAAATTTTTTTAACGAAATATCAATTGAAGGGGTTTGCAAAGAGTTGGCAGAACCGCCGGCCAACTTGGATTTTCTACTTATAACGCTAATGTTAATAATGGTTGAAGCATATTACGGTATTGTTTATTAGATAAAAAGTTGCAAAATACAGTATCACATTTTAAAGCTATTGAAACCACGGATATGATTTGCTATCTATTTTTTTATTTTAGTTGTTAGTATTTTGTCTAACTACTAAATATATTGACTTAAACTGTGTTTTTTTTTCAACCTCAAAAACAAAAGTTTTAAAAATCAAAAATGTAATTCACGTTGAAAATATATTTAAGAATCACATAAAATTTTCTGCTTGGTAATGAGGCTTACGGTGCATGATTAATAAGCTTCAGCCAAGGCCACACTAAAAAAACTTCAACGTGAACGCATGTTTTTGGTGATCGGTGCTTGGACAACCACTGTTAAGCCTGGGGCATCTGACGGTCAACAACAATGCAAAATTATTGACTACTGCCGACACTTAAGATGATCTGTTAACATAACAGATTATTTAAATTTCTCCCCTTATCTGTATTATATGATTTCCTTTGTTGTACCAATTTATGTTTACAAGTGAGTTCTGTTGTTGGTTTAATCTTATGTTTGTATCTGTATGATAAGTTCTTTTCTCTCAAATGGATCAGATCAATTATTTTCAAGTTAACATTTTAACCCTCCTTAACTGAAATGCCAATGGGTTTTGAGATAAACGTGTTCCTTTTATCGCGTTTATGGCTAGAGAGCATTGATATTGCATGTATTACTGAGACACATCCAACCGATGTGGAAAATTTCAAAATTATGGGTATTCTGTATACAATACTAGCTGTAACCCGCGGGCTTTGCCCCGTTTAACTACTTAATTTTCAAGATTATTTCGTTCGCATGGCTCAATCACGTCCTGGTTGAAGTTTGTTCGCTACGCTCACTCACCTTTAGGTTGGAGCTCGTTCGCTACGCTCACTCACCTTTAGGTTGGAGCTCGTTCGCTGCGCTCACTTGTCTTCAGGTTAGCTCGTTCGCTACGCTAACTCGCCTCCAGGTTGAAGTTCGTTCGCTACGCTCACTCACCTTTTAGTTGCAAATTAGCTGTTGTCATAAATGTAAAAGAAATAATAGTGCTGCACCCTGTTGGTAATCCTAGTAACTTTAATGCCATTAAACATCATAGAACAGAACCAACTTGTATAATTGAAACAGCTGTTAAGATTCTATAATTCCATTTCTCATAAGGTTAACATGGGAAACTCCAGAGATAGAAGCTATATTGGTGTAAAAATGAATGCTATCATCCTCCAATGAGAACAATGTACCTAATTAGAGAAAATCATAAAGTTAGACGACTTTGGCAGCGGTACCATCTACCACACTTTAAAAGGCAACTCAACGAACTGGGAAGAAGTGTGAAAACAGAACAGAGGAATTTAGAAAATACAACTATAAGAAATATGTCTCTGATATTATCTGAGTGACCCAAATATGTGACGCCTTTTAACCCTTTCGTTCTCATGAATATGTGTAAATGTAAAAAATAATCCCCAGTTTTTTATATTAATTTGGTGTAAATAATCAGAAAAACACTTTTTTAACTCATTTTATGTTTTTATAAATAAATTACAAACATGATTAAAATTTAGATCGTTGGGAAACTGTGAAACGGAATGACACGGTAAAGTATCTTTGACTATCAATACAACTCTTCAGTATCCAAAAGTCAATGGTATTATTATGCAAAAAGAGTTACAAAATCTTGTAAAATATTTTTATTTTCAAAATTTTAACTTAAAATAAAATAAATTAAAATGTTTTAAATTGAATTTTAAAAACTGTAAATGAAATAAATTTAAAAATATGAATTAAATGTGTGTATTAAATTTATATTATAAAGGAAAAAATTAAAATAAATAAAATTGATTTGAAAACTTAAAATAATTAGTCAAGTTAAAACATTATTAATGAAAGTTTTCTAAAATCATGTTGAGTTTTTGTCAATTATATCCCCTGATATAATTTCCTCGCTTTTTTACATAAAAAGGTAGTAAGAATTAGAATTTCAGTTTTTTATTTAAAATTATATTAAATTTAAAAATATGAATTAAATGTGTGTATTAAATTTATATTATAAAGGAAAAAATTAAAATAAATAAAATTGATTTGAAAACTTAAAATAATTAGTCAAGTTAAAACATTATTAATGAAAGTTTTCTAAAATCATGTTGAGTTTTTGTCAATTATATCCCCTGATATAATTTCCTCGCTTTTTTACATAAAAAGGTAGTAAGAATTAGAATTTCAGTTTTTTATTTAAAATTATATTAAATATTTTATTTTTATTTTTATTTTCATATTAGCAAAAGATATAGTTATCTTATTTATTAGGATTTCACATTAGTACTTAAGATACCTGCATCCCTAGTCAATACCAGGTATGCAACATCCTGCTGATTCATATATAGATCATGATTATTTTTAACACCAGTAGGAAAGGGTTTGTAATATCTGTTTGGAATTATTTATATAGCATGGTAAAACTACAAACAACACTACATTATTTTTTCTATTACCAAATACATTCATTATTTTACATAAAATAAATCACGAAACGGTAACCTTAGGTCAGTTATACCTCAATGGTGTAGAGACTAGAGTTGGTTAGTCTCTAAGCTAATAGTTTTCTCAGCACAAATAATGTTTTTAGTAATAAATTTTACTTCTTTTATTTGATGATGACAAACATTAAAATAAAACATCATTACACACTTTAAAATCAAATATTAATAAAAAAGCACGTATATAATATATAAAATAAGGAAACCTAAAACTCACATATAATATGGGTTTATAGAGAAAAGCAATCCAAATAGCAGTGTATAGCAGACTGGCAGCACCCACCCGTTCGCGTTCTCCTACTCCTTCTGCTTCTGTCTGTTTATTAATCGATCGTTCAAAAAGTAGGTGCAAGATGGCAAGATATGTGAAATGGGGTGCCTTGTGTGTATTGGAATTCTTTACAGTGCTAAAGAAATTATGTTTTCTAACGTAGCTTTAGGGAATCTAAAGATAAACATTTTGAGAATATGAATATGTTGTATAACAATTTAGCCCTTTTTGGGGTTGCGTTTTATTCTCTAACTTCTACAGGTAAGATTGTTTATCGCCACTCTATGAGGTTCCTGGGATTTTGTCTTTGTTTAAAAAAACTCATTCTTAAACTAACACAATTTAAGTTAACTGATCTTGAATTTGAATGAGCATTCTTGCAACGCGTATTGTTTAAACAACATAGTGAATTATTACTCATGCCTAATTCATTGTCCTAGCCTAAGCTTAATTAAAATTTTACAAAGGCCCTAACTATCTTGAATATAAAGAGCTAGGCCTATATGAATATGTTGTATAACAATTCAGCCCTTGGAAATTTATTGCGATGAGGGTGACCAAGAGTACTATAGTAATTTATTGAGTTTTTGCTGTTTTTAACAGTGCTGTGTAAGTGAAGGAATTAAACTTGACAGTTTCAATCAGGGCATTAATCTTTGCCTCTTTAATTGGGACTTTATTGTTTGGGCCTCTTTAATTGTTTGGGTGATTAAGTTATGCATATTAAGGTGACCAAGGGAACCTAGATAGTAATTTATATATCGTTAGAAACTAGATTTTTACTGGACAGCAATGGTGCAAAAATTTTCTGCTGTCTCAAAAACATGGGAACATTAATTATTATCGATGTTTTTTTTATATACAAGGTGTTTTTTTTTAAGTGTGCCACCATTGGGATCTCAGTAACTAATGATTTTACAGCAAACTTTAAATGGGGAACATTCTCTTGTTTTTAAAGAGGTTCAATAGTTATTTGTGCAACTAGTGAGCAAAGGGAGCAATTGACTCACTCGAGAGAAATAGGCGAGTGAGGAATGGTTTCTCGAGTAAGGAAATTGCACTTTGCACTCGAGTTTTACATTATATTTTTCCTACAGTTACAATAAAACAAATAAATTAGTAAAGAAACGTGACATATTTTTACACAGAAGTGAACTTTTAATATGACATTTAATGATCAACACGATCAACAACAGTACAACAGCTGACCAGCTGATTTACAGCCAGTGCTGCCAACGTATTTCGCGCGCATACGACCTTGTCTGCATGTTACGCACTCACTATTTTGTGCCTTCACGTTGCAAATCTGGAGTGAGACAAAGTAATTAGAGTGAGTACAATGTTAACATTGTCTCAATGATGAGCGAATTGGCCACTTTGCTTTCTCAAATCAGTGAGAGAACATGTACATTGTTAGGTAACTGTAGGAAAAAATAATTAAATACTTGTGTTAGGTACAGAAGGTGCAGGAGAATGTCGTGATCTTCACGACAGAGTGATTACCCAAGGTCTTCACTACGTACCGGGTCCTGATACCTGTACTCTATGTGTCTGTGACAATGGTCAGCCTAAATGGTGCAAAGCTGTTCTTTGTTCTCCTCCACAAGTAAGTAGCCTATTACACAGCAAAATTGTTGTAGGCCTTCTAGATGTACACGGTGAAGATGATTGGTGTATTAAGTTTGTAACTTAACGTAGGTAGGTGTAGTAAACTTGTATAAAAAAAAAAAACTAAGCTAGAACTGAATGCAATACCGTACTGTACCCCCAGAGAACCTTGATAAGCCAGTAGGCCGGATTTAAGAAAATGTTGGACCATCGAGAGGCCATTTTTAAACAAGAAATTTTACAAGTACTTAGCCTATTTTTTTGTATTTTTTAACAAGTAGTTTTAATAAGATGATAATGACCACACAAGATTGCGGGAAAAGAAAATAATTTTGCCTCATCCGCGCAAGACGATGAATGGTCTCCACTTGACTCGTCCGGTAGAAGATTACAATTTTGCCGCAATGGCCGGAGATTATTATTATGTCCACACGACATTAAAAAGCCCCGATTTTTTTTCCACTTTATTTGGGTTTTATTCGTTAAACGGTCTTTGGAAATGATATTTCAAAATAGTGCAAAAAAGAGGAATAGAATTCATGAAACATTTCATTAGCAGTCATTTGATTATTAATTTGGCTCCAATCATCGTGGTCGTTGAAACCAGTTCAATATAGAATAATTGTTATAGGCTATATTATTTTTACTTGAACTTAATATGAAACTACACATTCAATTTCTTTTAATCTATAAGCTAATGTTTTCTTTGAAAAGTGGGTTGGGGTCATATTATAAGAGGGTCAAGATCACCAAAGGCAGAAATTTTGAGGTTTGTTGTAGTCCATCAACTACAATAATAGACTAATAGGCATATGGTATTAAAACAATATGCTTATATAGGCTATACATTTTTGTATTCATTATTTATCCATTGTATGTATCTAGAGGGCTAGCCTGTATTATTCATAACATTATTATTATATATTTCTTTAGGACTGTAAGTCGTTCCGGGTGGGCAGCTCGTGCTGTGAGTTTATCTGCTTAGACGACACCATCCTAAACCGTGACGGTGGCCATGATCTCAATGCAGACCTCGGTCTTCGCCTGATAGCCAGTGCCGTCACCGCCATCTTGTCTCTTTCCCTCCTTTTCTTTCTCATTCATCGACTGAGGCAGCGCAAGATCAGGGGTGAGTGTGCTGACTGGTACTGTATTTTTGACAATAATGTATAAAATTATGATGTTAGTTTCACAAGAATAATTTAAAAAATAGTGGCTTTGCAGAATAAAGCCTGATGCAGTAGAACCTCGATTACCTGTGGTAATTGGGGGGGGGGGGGGACTTACATAAGGAAATACATGACACACCCATAAAAACACCATAATGCCATATTAGTATATATTATAATTTTGTTTTTTACATCAACAAAATTCAATATTGCCTAATCATGGTAAATGCTCAAGTCATTAACCTTGTTTAAGTTAAAATAACACAGCTTCCTCAAACTTAACAAAAAAAATCCCTCGTATAGCAATAAATCCCATAAAGAACAAAACAGAAAGTCTTGTAAGCAACTGCCTGAGGTAGGCTACCGGTAAATGCTGTTTCAGAACAGAGGAATGTCAGATAATAATATAGTACTCAACTCGCATCTGATGTTCCCGTAGTTGAAAACAAATCTTTTTCTTCTGTTCTTTCTCTTCATCCACACACTCAACAAGTTACCAGGGTTACTTATCAACCAATTACAGGCTACTAAAGTTGCCATGGTTACAGATCACCCAATCAAAGGCAGCTAAGCGTTATTTCATCATCAGCTGTTGTGGCATAACACACAGCATACAGATATGCAGCAATCGTGATGTCACCTTGGAGCTCAGGATCAATATTTCTTTGTTCTGCTTCTTGTCTACTTAAAATGAAAATAAATGCCTTTTATTAGCCAGCGCTCCTCAGTACAAACTGTTTTACATGATGACTCTTTTCAATTAACTAGGCCTAATGCTAACTTAAAACTAATGACCAAAACAAAATACAAATCAACCACCTATGTACAATATTTTACAAATATATATACACAAGCTGTTGCCCCATTTACCTTCATATGTGAGCTCGTTCGCATGGCTCAATCACGTCCTGGTTGAAGTTCGTTCGCTACGCTCACTCACCTTTAGGTTGGGGCTCGTTCGCTGCGCTCACACGTCCTGGTTGAAGTTCGTTCGCTACGCTCACTCACCTTTACGGTTGGAGCTTGTTTGCTGCGCTCAATTGCCTTCAGATTAGCTCGTTCGCTACGCTACCTCGCCTCCGGGTTGAAGTTCGTTCGCTACGCTCACTCACCTTTTGGTTTCAAATTAGCTGTTGTCAAATATTAAAAAATATAATAGTGCTGCACTCTGTTGGTAATCCTTGTAACTTTAATGCTATTGAACATCATAGAACAGAACCAACTTGTTTAATTGAAACAGCTGTTATGATTCATTAATTCCATTTAAATATGAGTACTCATTAGGTTAACATGGGAAACTCCAGAACCACTGGGGCGGAGCCCGAGAGTCCGATCAGAATAAAAACCACTTAGTTTTCCTATTTAATGCCTAAAGAATCAGTGTACCAAATTTCAGCCTCTTAGGTAAGTGGGAAGTGGGAGAATTATTGATGAGTGAGTGAGTGAGTCAGTCAGTCAGTCAGTGAGGGCTTTGCCTTTTATATATATAGATTTTCTTCAGCCTAGATCTAAAATCTGCGACACCCAGCATCTTAAGGTCACGGGGGAGGTCATTGTACAGTTTAGGCCCAAAGTATGCAAAACCTCTCTTACCTATTTCCAACCTCACCTTCGGGAAGTCAAGTTGTTTGTCTTGTCGGGTATTGCACTGGGACACCCGATTGCGGGTGACCAATCTTTCAATGTTCAAAGTAGGCCGGTTCGCTTTCGGTCAGTACTCTGTGTACCCTGCACACAGCTGCTGAGGACAAGAGGCCGGCAGTTTTTTCAAATTGAGATATATATGGTCTCCTTTCCGAAGATCATGTACAAATCTCACTGCGGTGTTCTACAGTCTTTATTTTTGCGGGCTATGGTCTTAATGCATATAGGATATGGGATGAACGCTCTAGTAAAAAAATAAAAGTTTGAAGAGATGTGAAATTCCTTAAGTACAAAAGCAAGCATGTTGGCAAAGAAAAAAAGAAAACAAGGATTATTGAAGACAAAAATAGTATAAATGATGAGAATGATCAGAAAGAAGACGAAAATAAAGATAGTTGAGAGTGAGAGTGCAGATATAAATCAGATAATCTAAATGAGATAAGTAATAATGAAGTTTAGAGTTTGGGTTGGTTTCAGACCAAAATGAAATCAATGAAGAACAGCAAAGTCAAAGTAATACTGATACTAAAAGATCAAACTAAGAAGAGAAACTACTACCTGATAGATATAAAGATTTTGTGATGTTGACATATGAAGAAGCAATCAAAGGACCAGATAAACAAAACTGGCGACAAGTAAAAATAAAATATACTAATTATTGTAACAGTAAAACCTTAGGTTAGTAATTTACTTTCACTTAATCAACAAAAGGAACTCACCTCACTCATTGCTTCGAAGTGGTGCTCATTTTGAGTGCTCAAGTGCTCATTTCGAAGTGGTAGATCAGTTGTGACAGCTGCTACAGAGTTTTTAGAGTCAGTTATTGATTGTTTCGATGCAAAACAAAAGGCTCTTGGTATTTTCATGGATTTAACCAAGGCATTTGACTCTATAAACCACAATCTACTTTTAAATAAATTGTCTAGCATCGGAATAAAAAATAAATCTCTTCAATGGCTAGAATCATACATACATTGTAATAGAAAACAATTTGTAGAAACTATCCAATTCAATAATCAAATGAAAATTACTCACAAGTCAAAAATTAGAACTATTAAACATGGTGTACGGTACCACAGGGATCCATCTTGGGTCCCCTTCTATTCATTTGCTATGTTACAAACCTACCAGGGCTGACTAAATCTAGCAAACTTTACCTTTATGCAGACGATGTAAATCTTACAGTTACCGCTAATTCTGAAGAGGAAATTGAAAAGACAGCTAATGCTAATCTAGATATACTTTCAAATTTTTTCCAAAACAATCTGCTACTTTTGAATCCAGATAAAACAAAGTTCATAAATTTTGAGACCCGTCAGACAAGACTTTCAATTAATCCTTCACTAGAAATTAATCAGAAACCTATTGAAGAATTAGAAAATATTCGATTCTTAGGATTTGAAATTGACAAAAATTTAACTTGGAATTCTCACGTGAACAAAGTAATAAAAAAAACGTGATCTGGTCTATTTGCATTAACCCTTTCAGTGCTATGAAACAATATATCGTTGTTTTAAAAAATCTCTAAGGGATATAGAGAGGAAGGTTATTTAAAAAAAATAGCAAAATGGCCATTGGTGACCTGCATGTTCATAGGATACACTATCAACCACTTAGCTAAAAGATTCGCCCAATCCGATGATTTCGAGGTGTATGTCTAAACACAGATAATATAACCCCTACTAGGGTATAACCCCTAGTAGGGGTTATATTATCTGTGGTCTAAACCAAGGATTATGAACACCTCACTATGCCCCAGTGGTTGTAGTATATCGCTACAAACACACAGGTCACCAATTATTTGCCACACAGGACGGGATTCGAACCCGAGCAGACGAATGCCACTGGCCAAGTGACACACGCCCTAGCCTTCTCGGCTATCTGTGCTTGAAGACTGGGGAGTCAAAACCCGGTATTTAAGCTGTCGCCACCGATTGCGAACAGATGGCGCTGAACAGATGGTTGTTCAATGCGTTACTAGGTAGCAGCACCAGTTAGTCACGGACTATTTAGATGCAATCTTTTAGTTTAAACACAACAGTGATCATAAATGTGTTCCTGAGACTTTGCTGCAAAACATTAGTTTCCCTAAAATGGCTATATTACGATAACCTCGTCCAACTAAATCAAGGTTAAATTCAATATTACATTGTAAACTATATGTCTTTTGATTTTATGAGATTTTGGTTTCAAATAATGCTATCAGAACATAAACATTTATAGGAAAACCAGGAAAATTACAACAAAAACTAAGTTTTATTTAATGTTTACTACAAATAGCGGGATTTATCTTACTTATATATTTTCTTATTGTGTTATTATTCAAAATTAGCCTAATTAATAAAATAGTGACAACATGGCAGTTAAAATTCAACAACAGGTAATGGAATTAAAAGGCAAACAAAAAAGTCTAACAAAATATGAATTATTTTCCTAGCACTGAAAGGGTTAACTAGATTAAAAAATCTTCTTGATCAAGTAACATTAAAATCAATATACTTTTCGTACATACATTCTGTTATTTCTTTTGGAATATCTCTGTATAGCGCTACATCTATCAATAACTTAGAAACAATCCTAAAATTACAAAAACGAGCTATAAGAATTATTTTGGACCTTGACTCGAGAACTTCAAAAGAGCATTTTAGATCATTAAAAATAATGACAGTATACATCTATGAAACAGTTCTATACGTTAAAAACAGATTTTCTCAATTGGCGTTAACTGGTGAACACCACCACTACAATACCAGAAACAAAACCAACATTACTCTAAACCGCCACAGATTAGAACTTTACAGTAAGAAACCAAGTTATATCGGCTCCAAATTTTACAACAAAATTCCAAATGAAATTAAATCGGCAAAAAGCATGGTGGGATTTAAGAGGGGTCTTAAAACATTTCTCATCAACAAGGTATTGTATTCCCTTGATGAACTTTAAAATTTTAGAAGGAGCGTTAATTTCTAATTTGTATAAACTTATGCTAGATTTTAAGAACTTTGTATCCATAGAATGTAAGAACGTTGTAATATAAAAACATTGAAGAGAATGACACTATTCATGTACTTTGTGCTTTAATGAATAAAGAAATATTAAATTGAATTGAATTGCATTAGGGCTTTCAGTCATGTGGCGATGAATTTTGGCATCGTATATGTTTCATGGAGTCAATAAACGTATCACTGACCTTATCTCGCACGCGGCAGGTTATTAGATGGTATACAAATTTTTTTAAACACATAGCGAAGCGTGCATGTCAGCTACAGAGCTGTAAATTGTGTCATCCAGTTAAAAAATTATGCTAGTAAGTGGCGGGGAGCCATGTTGCAGCATACAAGCGAACTACGGATTCTTACACAAAAGCGGCCCTAACTTAAAAAACTGCTCTTGTAATTAAAGTTTTAATCTACATTGGAAAAACATAGGTATAGTGTTTTATTAATTTTACTGTACTAGATATGTAATCAATACTCTGACAAAATAAAGCGATGAAGCCATCACCTATACCAGCTATGTAATGGTGGAGTCAATACTGTACAACCATAGACAAAAATTAACAAAAGTGCTCTTACAATAAAAAAAATCCCCTATAGAAAATGTCCTTTTACACAGGTCGCCAAAGTCGACAGTTGAGTGAAGACTCCCGCAGTCTGGGCAGTATCGGCTACATCGCTGGGAGTCTCGGCTACCTCCCACCAGCACTGGGCTGTCAGGACTTCCACTATGAGGAGGCATCTTCTCACTTCCCTCTATGGAAACCTCCAGGAAACTACTTCCCACGAGGAGAGGCTCCGCCCCCGTATGAGGAAGCGGTGGCAGCTGCACGCGCAGAGGCAGCATTGGCCGCTAGAACCACTCCCGGTGAGTTACAAATACGAAGTCGATGTAATGCGAACCGGAAGGCTGCAGAGATTAAGAAATACGGGATGAAAAGGGATAGATTTGAAACTCAAGACATAATTTATCACATTTTCTTTTTACTTCCAATTAATGGTTACTAACTATAACAGTAAAACTTACATGAATTTATTTACTTGTAGTAGAAAAATGCTTAAATTACTTTTTCAATATTCATGGTTATGATACTGGCTCAACACTTGCTGGCTTACCGAAAATCGAAACCGCTGGAGATCAGGTGCCAAGTTTTTGGGACGAGTGTGGTTGTTAAATAACAACTTAGTTGTGTTTCTGATCAATTATGGTTTACAGTTTGTTTTTCCCGAGCAAATTCATTTTCTAGTAAATATATCTGTTAACAAAACTTATAGTTATGAGACGAGGCTTAACAAAGTTTCCTAGAATCCAAACAAAGGATTAGTTTTTTTACATTGAGCCGTACCATCAGTTCATATAGCTTAAGTAAAAAATTAATTAACTTTTTTTCGGAAATGAGTCTTTGAATGTTAATAATTTGAAAAAGGTGGCCTACCCACTAAACATTTATTTAAATTTGCCCTTATGATATAGATTCATATTTACCTTCCTAACTGTTTGCTCTAAACAACAACTACATACCACATTTATTTATTCTTTAGCCATTGTATCATGAATTTCTGTGATTATCTAGGTACCAGTCTGAGTCTGCTGCAGCACCAGCATCGTACCATCCCTCTGACACTAGCCACCAGTGGGCCTCTGTCTCCGCCACCCCCAGAGACTAGACTGGCCACTATACGGCCGGACTTGTTCTTCCAGGAGGTGGTGCGGGACCCAGCAGCTCCGCCTGTTGTGTCCTCCTCCCCAGCCACAGTTACTCCTACGTTTACCATCGCTGATACAGGTCAGTGACATAACCTTACTGTGTCTACCCCAGCAGCCTCTCCTGTTGTGTAATACGCCATAAAAAAACTATTTCAGCCAAGTCATTGAGATTTAATGTGATGTTTTATGTTGAGAGTAGATGAAATACTTGTGCTTTTATAGGTTAATTAAAGTGATAACTTTTCTGTTTTGATTGGATTGAATATGTTGAATATGTTGTTGATTGAATATGTTATGATAATACGCTATTGCTATATCATCGCATTTAGCCAGATGCATATTGAATCATATACATTGTCATTAAGATGTTTCTGCTATAAAAAAATATGTCCGATAGCAAGAGTTAATTACAGTGTTACTTCAAACATTGGAATTGATCACAATATCACCACGATCCTAAGAGTTAATCGTAATGATGGACCACTATTTTAGCCTCTATTCCATTCTCTTTATATAGTACTTTCCTACTGTAACCTACCCCTCATATCAAGTTGTATATTACAGTAGCCAGTGGCAGGAGTGTGCTGTTAGAGACACAGTGTGTGAGACCGTCCGTACACACTACCTTGCCTACTGTCATGGAGGATGATGATTACCGCAGCGAGTGCGAGAACTGCAACATGAGTGAGCAGTTTGATGGCGAGATGGAGACGATGACGTTACATCGGAGACCTCACGAGGAGGCGGAGGAACCGTTCCCTCCTTACCGAACATCTCTGACTCTCCCGACCAACTGTCGTCGGCAAAGGTCGGTCTGTGATTCATGCTCATGATTTTATTTATTTGTCTGAAAGTGTTTGACATTTTTTAACTAAAATTTCAATATTAATGTTTAAAAGGTTAAAAGGGAACAAAAATTAGGGTACCAAATTTTCACAAGGATCTTTATATATTTATTTTATACTGTAGACTCATTTTTTTAGACAATGACAGTGTCATAATCAAGGAAATCATTCACTTCGACCTCCATGTACAGTCACATCCTTTGGTGAATTGGCTTTGCAATTTACTTCATATATATGAGTGTCAGAATGAACTTCTGAAGGGCTTCCATCTGTTCGCTGGTTATTAATACCTCCAGGTATTTACTATGGATGATGCCAATTCTGATTTCTTCAGCTGCTTGCTTGTTTCCTTTGGTCGGTGGTCTCTGAGTGGCAGGACCTGTCTCTGAAGTGCTTTTATTTTTCCTGCTCTTTTTATTTCAAGCTTCTTCCAGGGTAGTATTATTCAACCTAGATCTTTTTGGCGTGTTGTTGGACTCTTGCTGTTCTTTTGGTCTGTAGGGTTTGTTTTTAGGCTTATAGCTATTGTCTAGAGTATCCGTTCTTGAGACGAGAAGTCATTGTGACCTCTTGAATTGAAAAAAAAAACGCTCATCCTAATCGTTGGCCTATTTGCCAGCATTACGGTACGTCCAGAGTGCACACCGACTCAGATTTAGATTCCTATTCAGATTTTGGGTGCCAGGAATGGCACTTGCATTCGAATGGAAGTGGCCATAGTGGCTGCCGGTTGCCGAGCCCGCGCTCAGGCACCTGCTTACCGGAATTAATTCTTCATTCTGGTTTCAGATATTGCTCGTACGTATACTGTTTAATGAAACAAATTTGGTTTTTATAGTAAAATATTTTATTTTTCATACTTACTTTTAGGGTTTCCTCTAAACGGTCTTCAAGATTTTTTTTGTTTGAGTAGGTTACACCAGCTTCTACAATACAATGTTCATTTTTAATATTTTATCAGTTTCGAGCTCCATTCAACGCAATATAGCAGTAGCTCTATCTTTTCTAGCTATGGGAAAAGAGATATATAATATCACAAACACCATCTTTCACTGTCTGTAACTTCACGACAGTTTCAGACGCTATAATTTTAAACGTTAATTCCTCATCCGACAATTCCATAACTACGACTGACTTGCTTCTTTGCTTTAACCGAGTCAGTACTGACGCCGTATTTCCTGCTTCCACTGTGGCAACCAACAAAATATCTGACTCAGAATAACCACGTGCCAAAAATCTGAATCTGACTCAATCTGAATCGGCGTGCACTCTGGGCGTACCGTTAGGTTGCTTGCCCCATTTTCTAACTCTTTTTTGGTCTGGGACTTGAAATACTTGAGGAGGCCTTCCTTCCCTGATAGGGTCATTGTATACCTCCTTGAGATGGTTTGAAGGGAATTCCTAAGAATTTGTGACTTGTGGCATGCAACATCCTTAGGTGTTGTTTGTTCTTCATTTGCAAATTTATTTGTTGTTTCCATCTTGGTCCCAAAAGAAGCTAGGGAAGATTGGTCGACACAGGCATAGCACTGCAAGTCCGGGGAAGGCTACTTGGATTTGGAGGTCACCTGGTCTCCATATTCTAGGTCAAACTCCCCTTGACCATTCAGCCCTTAGTGTATGGTCCACCTTGGTTTGGGATGAATAGAAGAAAATGAAATGAAGGAATTCTGAGAAAAAGATAGTTAGAACAATTTTTTAGTAAGAGGCAAAAATAAAGTAGTAAGAAACAGAAAAAAAGAAATGACATAGAATGGAAGCCCACCAGTTCAGCACCCGGTCCTTATGGAAGATTGACAGAACAGTGAGTACTTAGTAGGAAGGCAGCGGACATATTAGCTTGACACCTGGGAAGCTTAATCACTCAATCACTTCCCAACTCTTTTGTATGGTTAATACATCAAATATTTGCTAGCAAATTAATACTCAATGCCACAACTTTGTTGAAGTCAATTTTCTCTTAAGATGGGGCTATTTATAGAAACTGAAACTTTGGTGAGTAAGCCTGTTATTCCATTGACTGTTGATGGTCATCGGCAGAACACAAACCCAAGGTATGCAACCTTGGAAGACTATGTATATAGATTCTTGTGAAATTTGTGTAAAATAATTTAGCTGATAAAGGCTTAAGATTAGTGGATGGATTTAAGATTTGTACTGTTAAGTAAGGAAACCCTTTGTGAAGAACCAAAGTAAACCAGAAACTAGAGGTTAGAGAGCAGGACTTCATTCCTGTATGTGTTTCTTTAAAATGTAATCAAAGACTTAGTTGTCTATAATGTGTGACTTACTGGTTAAGAGCCCTCTTCAACTTGGAGGTCTTCCCAACTAGAAAAATTAAGGTCTCTCAGGCGAGGAGAAATATTCCTCTGCTGAAGAACTCTATTAAAAACCATCCAATCATATAATCTAAATATATAAAAGGCAAAGCCCTCACTGACTGACTCACTCACTCACTCACTCACTCACTCATCACTAATTCTCCCACTTCCCATTTACCTAGGAGGCTGAAATTTGGTACACCGATTCTTTAGGCATTAAATAGAACAACTAAGTAGTTTTTATACTGATCGGGCCTTCGGGCTCCGCCCCAATGGCTCTGGAGTTTCCCATGTTAACCTTATGATTTTTCATATTTAAAAGGAATTAATGAATGTTAACAGCTGTTTCAATGAAACAAGTTGGTTATGTTCTGTGATGTTCAATAGCATTAAAGTTACAAGGATTACCAACAGGGTGCAGCACTATTTTTTTTTTTTTTTTTTATTTATGACAACAGCTTATTTGCAACCAAAGGTGAATGAGCGTAGCGAACGAACTTCAACCTGAAGGCGAGTTAGTGTAGCGAACGAGCTAACCTGAAGGCAAGTGAGCGCAGCGAACGAGCTCCAACCTAAAGGTGAGTGAGCATAGCGAACGAACTTCAACCAGGACGTGATTGAGCCATGCGAATACTTATGAAGTCAAACGGGGCAAAGCCCGCGGGTACAGCTAGTTACTTTATATAATTTACTCATATTATTACTTATTTGTTTAATAGATCAACAACAATGGGTGCTCCTGCTCAGGCAGGTGCTCGGGAGAACTGGTTCAGTAGCATGCCTTCGTCCACTTCATCCTCTGAAGACGAAGAGTAACTGACTCTGATGTAATTGGTGCATAAACCGACTTAAGTTCATCACACAAACTGATAGATTAGAACCGGTCGACGTGATGAACAGTCTTGTCATACCAACATCAAGGTGGGTTAGTGTTTGAGAACTTGGTGCTTCAGTCAATAGTTGTTACCTTTTTAATAATTGAAAACAGTTTTACTTTGAATATTTATTAGTTTTGTTGTTTGTATGTAAAATTCTGTTGCACACTATCATGTGATTGTAGCCCTATGGACTTGTTTGTGCCAAAGTTTGAGTTGGTTCAAACCCACGGTTGTTTTATAAATTTGTGTTCAAACATTTCTATTTTGTGTAATATCTGTCAGCAACTGTTAACATTTTCGATGCTTAGTGTAGATTTGCTTGAACTCAAATTTAACGGGTATGTACCATGCATTTCCATGAAAGTTTGCTAAAAACAGAATATCAGTTCTAAAATAACTTGGTAGTGGTGGGTTTTTCTTTATAAAGTACAACTAGCCTACTATATTTGTTAGAGAAGTTTTACTACTGTCATATTTTAGTTTTGTAAAATAGTAATCACTTGCAAATTATCTTTTAACATTTTTTGTAATCAATACACATTTTGCCATTGATATTCTTTTGACAGTATATGCTCTGTGATTGTCCTTTGTAGTTTATTTCTTAATGATTGTTAGGGGATATATATCCTATATCCTTTACAAATTATAGTTTTAAAACAGAATATTTAACTAGGTTATTGTTTGTTTGGTTTTGTTTTTATTTTTTGCTAGATATAAGTGACCTTTATTAGGGAACAGTGTTGTTTTACTGATTTTAGTGTAATGTTTTTACAACCCATCACTGCCCCTAAAATTGATTCTATTGTTGTCTTTATAATTGCAAAATATTTTAAAGGTGTAAGACATTTTAAACAGGTCAAATTTATTTAACCAATGTTTTCTATTTTTATACAGATTTTCATATTTTTATTACTTTACACAGTTTAATTTGTATTATAAATATTACCAAGCATTTTACTTTATGACAATTATGTTCCATGTATTTTTAATCACTTTGATAAACAAAAACTGTAATACTCTAAATGTGTTCTGTGTTTTGAACTTTACTCAACGAACCACAGTGACTGTAAATGTGTGAAACAAGTGTAATTAAGTGTTAAAGATGTGTTGACATGTATTGTCACCGTGTGACTTTGTGTGCATTAAATGCTCAACGTGTGCGTGAACGATGGATGCTAGGTGTTGTTACGATGTGAAAGTTTTACATTTGTTATTCTCGATATGTGTTGACTACATTTTGTGAAGTAGCAGGGACTTTGATGCTTCAAACCTGTCAATCAGAATACTGTGAAAAGCCAAATGGCAAATATATTTAAATTTGCTTACATTATACAAATAAACAACACAATTAAACTGGAAGTAACATTTAAAAGTTGAGATCAACTTATCTTTGTTTGAACTTTTTAACAGACTTTTACAGAATCAAAACTTGTTGTTTTTGTTTTTTATATGTAGCCTAAGATGAATAAAAAGTCCCTGTTACGTGTTACCATTGTACTGTGATCAGTAATCTAGTCTTATTGTTACAATTTTTATCAATGTTGTATGCATATTTTGGGAACATTCCGTTTATACCGTTTTAGTTTCATTTTAAAGTATTATGATAATTTACCAACTCGAGTCATTTTTAGATATTCAAATTTGAACCTAGATAAGTCTTTAAAGCTGCCACAAAAGTCAACTAAAATGGCTATTGTTTGAAGAAAGTCTCATAGCTTTTACAATCGACAAAATCACCATTGAGTGAGATTAGCATTTTGTTTTACTAAATTACCATATTTTATTGTTTTAATCAGCTGTTTGACAGCAGGTTGAGTGGAACCGAGCCTAATGAGCACCAAATCTATTAGTCTAAGGTACATGTAAGGTAGAGCCAAGAGAGAGGTTTTTTTTTGTGATATTATCATGACAAAAAACTGCATCTACTGAGATTGCACGACTTTGTCATGATTGCTTGCCACCATATTGTCTCCTTGAATGCAGGAGGTGTACAATCTAAGTAGGCCAACTGTATTTAGTTTATTTGACTCGATTTGGAACTTTATAATATATATATGTAACAAGTTGTTCATTATGTTTAATGTTTAATATTCAGTTTTGAAATAATGGCAAATATTAGTTTTATCAACAATTTTAAATAGTATTGTTTGTTGTTGACCTTGTTGCAGATTATCTTACCATGACAAATATGCTCAAAGTTTTATTTAAAATAATTTATTAAGTAAGTCGTTGTTTAATTAGATTTTAATAAGTTTATTTATTTATCTACAAAACATATATTATATGTATATTTATTTATGTATAATGAAAAATCAAATAAATGTTAACCTTATTGTAACATAAATTAAGTATTAACTATATTGGTAAGTAACATTTACCATATAGAATTGAACACTTTGAATCCATTTAAGCTTGTCAAAATTAATTATCTATCCAAAGCATCAGTGGTAAATATTACTGACTGATTAATAAAAAAAAACATTTTTCCTACAGTTACCTGACTAAGCAGGCTTCCTTGCACTGATTATAGCATGCAAAGTAGCTAATTGCTGCATTAACTTACTTTTGCTGCACTCCTGTATTCCAACCAAACAACATAAAACAGTTTGCTTTTATAAATCACATAATGGTATACGCTTGAAAATAATTTGGCAACATTTACAGATACTACAATACGACTACGATCAGCTGGTGCAGCATTTCACAGCCTTTGACTATTGATACTAAGACTTAACCTGTTATTTCGTGTCAACATTCTAGTTTCGCTTAACTTTAGGATTTAACCTAACCTAAAACGTGTTGTTTAGGGTTTGAAAGACTATATGCTTTATAGTAACTGCAGGAAAAATATAATGTGTGAAGTGAGCGCAAAGTGCCACTTTGCGCACTAGCATTGACTTTATTAGTTACAAAAATAACTATTATTAATGTTGTATTAAACACAACATACAAATACTGTATGTATGTTTCCAAATGACAACATTCCTCAAAACATTGGAGAGAGACAAACAATTTACAATGTTTTGAATTTGTATTGTTGAGTAGTAATTTTAATTCCTGCAATATTTCCCTTGCTACAAATACTAAGCATTAGATCAACTTAGTCTAAAGTTAAACAAAAAATAAGACAACATAGTAGTACTAAAATCACGTTTTCAAATTTCCAAACATATTCTAGTCAACTTTGTAACCAACTGTAATGTTTGCAGGAAGAACTAAAATATTATTTTATCATCATTGACATTAATTTCCATAATATTATTCTTTAAAGATTCCAGTTTTTCAATTATTAATTTTCAGTAGCTTAATTAACTCTTACCGATTTCAATTACTTACGAGTGTTTTTGCCGAGCTCAAATATAAATTGGACTTGTTAATGTTATGTAGTGTTACATGTATTAAGATTATTCTTACTTTAAATTCTGGCCTAATTGTAAATAAGCCTTTATATTGAAGTTTATGTTGATTTAGTACACAAATTGTGTTATTGAAAAGTTGCATATTTGAAATGTGTGCCCTTGTTTTTACTTTTATGTTTCAAAACTATGATTACAATGTGTTTTCTATTTTAATTACTTGTTATGAACTGATTATATACTAAGGGTGTATACATTTCATTAGATAACAATAAGAAAATATCTCTTCAATATAAACTTGTTTCATTATTGTCATACACCTACTCCCAAATATCCAAAGAACCAAGAACCACCGAATAAAGATTTAAGGTAGATCCATCCTTCATAATGGATAATTCATTGTGCCTCTAGATTCATGTTTGATATTATTTACAAACTGGTAAATCTTTTCTGATACATTTTCTAATTTTTTAAAATAAGTTAGTGTCATTAAATAAAAAAATATACTAACATACTTCTTCCGTGGTCTTTCTTTTGAAAAACTTTAAAGACAGTAGTGTTAACATTATGCTAAAACAATACACTACAGTATTTTGAACAAAATAATAAGACGGATCTTTCTAGTTTAATAAGTATAAAATTACATTTTGTTCAAAGCTATAACTTTTTGACAAACTCGACCCAATATGTCTACAACAAATCATCATAATGCAACAGTTTGACACTGACTATTGTCTGGAGATGGCTTGTCAGGTTGGCGGCCATCCTATTAATTTTCTAGGTTATTGCATATTATTCTTATGTAAAACATAATGGTTATTTCAAGTAGCCTATTAATTTTAACAAATCACAAATTACTTGCTATTTCTAAGAAGAATAAAGTAATTTTTCCAAATAAAAATTACAAATATATAACCTGTAAAAATACCTGTAAAAGGTACGCACACCGACCTGTAAAAGGTCGGCCTGTAACGACCTTAGATAACCCGAGGGCTCCTGGGGAGTGTACTGTACTTGGAAAACAACTAAAAAGGGATAGAAATGTGAATATCAACACGTACCTGGAATAAACAATTTCTTAACTCCATTTTCATAACTCACAAGAACAGCATCTGTAAGAGTTAAGTAAACTCTTAAAAAATGAAAGGGCTTTTTAACATTGGAGATATAGAAATGTTTTTTCACACTGCAAGGCAAATGGCTGTTTTCAATTGATATCTTTGTGAAAAATGCATTAAAAATAATAAAATAGTTAAAAGTAATAGGTAATTACACATGCCAAATCAGATCTAATGGTAAAACGCCCTATAGCTACACATCTTGGTTACTTGGTTAAATAATAAACATATTACAAATCGTCTTTTTATTTCAATTGTCATACAAAATAGTTATTTATTTTTTCCGAGGGTCCGTTGTTTCTCGGCGAACTGTACAATCTTCTGTTGGACTGGGAGCCCCTTCCTTCTTCGCACCTGATCCATGTACTTACGTGCGCGGTTTTCCGTGTCGGCTTTCTCCCCGTAGTGGAGATACTCTTCCTCGGTCCTCGGTTCCCAGTAAGGGTCTACGTCGATAACCTAAAACATATTGCGATAAGTAGTCTTAGATTTGTGAGTCCATTTTTATTTCAGGCATCATTTTAAGATGTTATTGAAACTAAATCGGGATTCCTTTCAGTCTACTGGTTATCCAGGTGGAAGTTCTCTGTGAGGACACGATTAAGATTAAATTTGGTGTACCAGTGGGTTATCCCACAGGAAATCATGTGTTATGATATCCCTATTATTTCCTACAGAATTTTATTTTTAAATCACATGAGTACTTAGGTTTGCTGCTACAGGGAAGGTAATAAAGTGATTTTTTGTGAAATGTTAATAATTTAGTATGAAGTCAAACATTTTCCAAATTTAAACAAATTATGTTTTATAAACCAGCAAACTACAACAGTTTACTTATTTTCTATATAAATAACATGGGAATTTTAAATTTATAGGTTTTTAAATTTTTTTTCTTAACAATTAGGCATATTTCCATGAAACGCATAAATATACAAAATTATGTGTTTTCCAAACTCTATGAAATGGTTTGGAAAGAAATTGCAAAATTTTATGTTATTAGGTCAAAAATGATTAACACCAATTTTTACCCTGTGAACTCCGATCATACTGGTTCGCGAACTCCTTAGAATAAAATGTAGGTTTACACAGTCAATCAAATTTCATGAAAATCATTTTTCCTTGAGTTATGTGCTAAAGACGAGCTTACACACTATAGCGATTTGCCGGATATGTGGCTGTGCTGTTTAGACCTTTTACAACAATTTCTTTGTCCGATTCATCAATTATTGTGCTTCTAGAATTCTTTGCTGGTTCAACATAATTTAAACAGTGAAGAAGTTCGAAGTACCACAATACACGTAAACGTGAGCACCAGCACCGGATTTCAGGGACTTTCCCCTTCTTGTACACTGTTCTTAATAAGTTTATTTTCTTTACAGAAGTGTTTTGAACGATGTTTTTTGGCCTCTGGGATCCTCAAAACGAAAAAGTAAATCAGTCCCGGGTCCAGGTCTGACTATGATACCTACGGTAATAGCTGTCTCCTATATGGGGAATTCGCTAAAATGGGCTTAAATGGAAACTGCGATAGTCTGTTGACACCATAAAACTCACTAATAGGGACATACGATCCTGGTTTTGCTGGTACCTACGTACATCAGTTCCATTCGTCACAAAGTATTAGTGGGTGAAATACTGTCGGGGACTTCTTGACGTGCGACAACAGTGTTTTGAATCGAAGGGAAATAAATCGATCTAGACACATGAATGGGGAGGCTGCCGGGGGGCTGCAAAACGGACGATCAGTCAAATTTTGAAACCCAGGGCGCCGGGGGCCGGAGCTGGGTCGGGGCTGGGTCCGTGACGTCCAAATTGCAGCCCACGCCCACTGACTGACGGGTGCCCGCCTTGGCTTTTTATTTTTTCCAAATTGTACAGTGGAGGTTGAAGCTGAGATTCCCAGAAAGCTACAACCATGCTCAAGGGTCGTCAGAATGATGTACAAAAATCTCTGTGCGTTGAGTGAACAAGTAAAAATAGAGTTCAATATCGGGAAAAGAACGAGACGCATTTACTACTATTTATTTATTTACACGGTAACCACAATTTTTACAACAAATACATAAGTGACATGTTCATGATGAATATTTGACAAACGAGGAACAATATAAAAAACTTTGCTGACGCATATCCTTTATCGATTTTTTATAAGTATAAAAATACCATAATACACTCGCACGCTTTTTCAGTTATCCAGACTGTCAGTATTCTGTTTATCTAAACATAATGACATATTGGCGCTGCTTTCAACACGTGACTATAAATGTTTCAAAAAATACCATTGATTATGTGTATAGTCAATGGCAATGCACACTGCTAGTGAAGTAGACATCCCATGGATAACTGATAGAAGTTAAGGCTCAACTGTAGCCATTATTGTTATAGGCCTACACGTAGATCGATGAGCCTCTCACAAAGAGCACTATGGTCAACATTGTATTTCCTCACATAGACTTTAATACTTGATGTTACGTTCTACAATCGTTGTTATCTAAGCTTGGCTTAATTAGAAAGTTGTCGTATTCCATAGAAATAAATAATTAACTTTGTGCTCTGTTGGTTAGTTACGGTTATTTTTATTCCATAACTTGCTACAGCTTTAACACAGAATTGTTACCTATTCTCACATCTATTTATTCTCTGAGCCTTAACTACTGAAATCACGTGAAACCGTGTACAAGACGCTCAATCTCGATCACTCATTGCATTTACCTGGTTACCCACCACTATTATAAACTAAACGCAGCCTTCAATAATGCACGAAGAACGTCCAGGCGAGACTAATTCTTCGGTTGTAATTCGCTCACGAAACCCATTTAATATAATCTACTATAAATTACCCGGCTACGGTATACGTGGATCAATCCGACTGCTTTCTACCTGGAATCTGAAATGAGGAGGGAGGGCCGAGGTGGTGGGCGAGTGGAAAATGTCATAATAACCTGTTTGCCCAGAAACTGTGGTTCGTGATTTATAAAATCGGACGGTCCATAGTCCACCACAAACCACTCGTCGGCGCCGACTATAAATAAATTGGTTTACCTTATGGTTGCCAGGTTCTTGAAAATTGTAGACTTCTTGCTCGATGCACATTTCATTTATTGATTTATTAATAATTCGTTCTTGAAACTGGGAATAACCACAGACTATAAATAATATCGTGGGACCTAGTGTGCTACCCTGAGGCACTCCGTGAACAGCCACTGGCTATGGCGAACAATAAACGCGCTCTTCCTTGACATTACAGTCGAATTTGAAGGAGTACAATTCCACATAGGCGATAGGTAAAGCAAATGTGTTAAGTCGGAATCTAAATATCCCGAGTTTTACAATAAATTCTTAAATTTTAACATACAAATTATCCTCTTGCACTGCAACAAATGCCGTAAAAGCAGTTGATAGTGGGTGTGGTTAATAATTGCGGAATAAGAATAGTATGTGTGCAAGGCATTCTTGAGCAAGTAAAAAGCCTACATTCAATTAATTTGTAGCTGGGTGATGGATACACTATTTGGCAGAAACGATTTCATTAAACTTCAATAGTAATTCAGTAAATGGTGAGGAAATGCATCTCTGAAATGTGGACAAAACCTATTAACACGTGTTTTGAGAAATAAGCACAAAAGGTCCTTCATGTACTTGCATTGCCAAAACTGCCTAAAACACGAAGGATCCACTATGTACACGCATTGTGGAAATGACTGTTTTTTTCTTGAATAAAGACATCTTATGCTCATATCACAGTTACATCAAATACTGTATCTATAATCCTCCAGTAAAATAAAAAAAAACTCAATGACATAGTTTGAAGTTTTGGACAGAAAAAAGGTTTTAGATACTCAATGACATAAATGAAGTTTAGAACAAAGACGAGTCATTGAAGTGAAAAGCAAAACTAAGAGACCACTTTGTTACATACTGTAATCCCTTATTTAAATGTAATATTGTCGAAACCTCTCAAACATGGTTGGTACTGTTTCGTGTGCATCCCAGAAAAAAGAAAAGATACGTCACATATCCATCATCCTCTGAAAACTCCAAAATCTCCAAACAACACGAGGGATCCACCGTGTTGTGGAAGGACGTTCGAACCGATGGTCCAGAGGGAGTACAAAGCGTGAACGGAAACTAAAAAAGAATGAAAAAACGGGAGTCTCCAGTCACGTGGCCGGCACGGGGCAGATGTGAGAATCTGTGGGAACTTTGGGCAGGTGCGAGGTGCGTCTCAGGTGTGGGGAAGTCCACTGCACGCCCCCCGCACCCCATAAGCTACTGTCCTAATTGCTGCAAGGGGTGATCTACTTTTACTGGTAATCTGTTTTCGGAAAGAGGTGGGTTTGGATCTGCTTTGATGCAATTTAAAATATATTTTTCAATGCATAGTTTTGTCACAATTTATAATGACAGACAAAAAATAGAGACGAAACTATGAGAGGCCGACTGCTCCTTACGTAAGACCAATGTTATGCAATAATGAGCAAGACATGAACACTTAAAAGTACTCCGATGTTGGTAAGAATCGCAAAGTATTTGTGTTTTATGCGCTCGAACAAAAAAATAGTCGATATTGTTATTCAAAAAAATCGTTGGAGTAAATTACTTGGAGACTGAAGATTAAACTTTTAAGCGTATTAGGGAAAGCCGTATTTTCATCTATAAAGCCAGCATTAAGCTAAATCCTAGTAAAAAAATTTTGAAAGAAGCTCTGTCCAAAAGATATCTGGCCAACAGAAGCTCCTAGATATCGTCGTCGTAGTGATTGATGTTTCCCTCCTTATCGTTCCACACCTCTCGAGAAACTCACGTCTAATCTACTCTCAACTCTGTTTGTATGGAACTTGTAAATTCGTTTGTCAATAGATAAAACACGATCAGGGGAAACTGGAATATAATTTGATGTATTTTGTTTAACAAGAAACTATCTGGTACTATCAAATCTGGAGTATATCTATCATAGTGTGGACTACAATGAAATATGAATTACAGGTCAAAAATGGTCTTGGGGTAAGTGGAAAAAGTGCATTTAAATGGAGAGCAGTAAGTCATTTATATTGCAAATTAAAACTAAATAGTTCGTAGTGAGCACTAAAGCCTATTCCAGATTTTCCGGCTAAGGATCTAATTGACATGGTCGTAGATTAACAACAGTGTTTCATCAAGGGGGATGAAGCCCAAAATATATACAGTACAGAGAGTCTTGACGGGTTATCTAGTCGACTAAGTTTGCAGACTTATAATGACTCAGGTTTTGTTGAGTTTGCTAAAATGAGAGGATACCTTAACTTAGGCTGACAATAATTTTGGTTTACGTGGGTTGGAATCCAAGAAATCGATTGGTGGAGTCATCAATAGTCGGAAACGTAAAGCGGGAAGAAAGCCTCACACAGTGAACAACAAAGTCATTCCAAATGTTCCAAATACACTACGTTAGCATAGGAATTTTAAATTACAAGGACCGT